GATGCAGGGCAGAGGCATTGCTAGGGATTTTGGTGCCCTGGGTGGGCAAAGGGAATGCTGGAGAGCAGGGTGGGAGGTGCCAGCATCTTGCAGAGAAGCTGCTGCCACAGTATGGGCTGCTGCTGTATCAGCACAATCTCCTTGAAGATTGCCACTCTGGTGCCCCTTATAATTTGGTGCCCAGGGCTGATTCTCCTCTCCCCACAAATTCCCCCTAGTTACGGTACAGGGAATTGAAACCTTTAATGACTGAGCAACAAACAGAAAACAAAGATGACACTGACCATGCCTGGTTTTTATCATTTACCACTTAACAAAAATATTTTATCCAGCTCTGCTGGGAACCTTTGGTTAGCATGATGACTAAGTTTGTATTTTTTCATGGTTTTTTGGTATTGAAAATCCTCTCCCATATTTTCTGATATTCTTGCTTCTATTTTCATGACATTTTTTAACACTGTTTTCTTCATCAGATACGTGTGATATGTTGTCTCTTTAGATATAAAGTCTATTTCCCACATATTAATAATACAGTTCCAACTCTACTGTCCAGCTAAGTCTGCTTGCTTGAAGAAGCACTAGCTATAAATCTTATTAGAGCATATTATCAAACTGGAGATTAGTAAAGTTAGATGGTAATTAGTGTGTGTTAAATCTTATTCAGAAAATCCTTTTGCTAGTTGGGATAACTGCTGTATGTGTTGTACTATTGATTAATTATGGAGTCATGCAGACAACACTAGCTATGGTTGAGAAGGCCCTTTTATTATAAGATACTCTCCTCTCAGGCACTTAAAATGTTTTGAAAAATACTACCTTCAACATTTTTCATTCTTGTCCTCAGCAGGGTGCGGGGCGGGGGGGGGGGGGGGGGGGGAGGGTTGCATGTGTATAAAAAAGGTTTCTTATCTGAATGTGAAAAAAATAACTGCAAGAACAGCCAACACCATTTTTTCTCAGTTGCTTTTATTTGTCCCTTGATAAAGGAAAAATACATTGTCTATAAGAACAAGTGTCTTTTTATGCATTTAAAAACATTTATTTTAGAAATTGACCTATATGAATTTGAAAAAAGTGCTAATATTCACTCTGGTGGGTATGAAGATGGGCCAAAAGCTAGCCTGGTATTCCCATCCTAGTGCTACAGAGTGACAGAGCTGCTGGGCTGAAGTGGCATGCCTCAGTTAAATCTCATCCTCCAACTAGAAGGTATTTAACTCAGAATGGGTTCTTGCTATACAATTATTTATGATGACTTTTAGAAATCTGTAAGAAGTGTAACCTGTCTTGAGTTTGAGACAGGACCCAAGGTAGGAAATGGACAAAGGGAACACTGTTTATGTCTCCAACTCCCAATCATAGACCCAGCTCAGAAGATGAGTCAATCCCTAGTGCAATTTTGAACAGCCAGAGCAGTGCTACAGACATACTACTGACAAACCTCTTAGTTTGAGGGAGTGTTGCAGGGCCAGCTATATTAGAGTTTCTCCCCCAGGAGAATCTTCATCCAGCTGTTTAAGTCAATACTGCCTGCTTTATGCTGTTGGGGCTGCAGAAGAAAGGCCCGAATCCCATTCATCATTAACTGTTATAGGTCTCCAGAGCAGGAACTAGGGCTGTGCGAAACACCATCATTTTGTTTCAATGTCTGTTTCGCCATTTCAAAGGGACAGTGTTTCATTTCATCATTTTGTTTCATTTTGAAGCACTGTCCTGTTTTGTTTCATCGAAACTGTTTTGCTGTTTTGACTTGTTTCAACGTTTCGCCCATAGGCTATAATGGGGAATCATGAAAATGCCTAAAACATTATTATTTGTTGCCTGATTTGGATGCAAATTGCAGGGATGGTAGCCCCTTCTGAGGGCATGAAGCCTGCCAAGCTTCAAGAAGATAGGTGCAGAGGTTTATCAGAAACTGCACCTCAAATCTTGAACACAAAATTCGGCAGCCTCCTGTCATCTGGCATGCAGATCCAGGGGCTCACACACCCAGGAGGGCTACGGGGCTGTGCCGCACTCCAGCCCTCCTAGGGGTGCAGGCCCCTAGATCTGTGCTGGATGACAGGAGGCTGCCACTGCTGCCGGGACTGGTGCTGGGTGCAGGCTGTACCCAAGCGCCGGGGAAGACTGATGTTGCCGCTGGCCCCAGGCAGCAGCGGCAGCCTCCTGTCATCTGGCATGCAGATCCAGGGGCTCACACACCCAGGAGGGCTACGGGGCTGTGCCGCACTCCAGCCCTCCTAGGGGTGCAGGCCCCTAGATCTGTGCTGGATGACAGGAGGCTCTTGCTGCTGCCTGGGACTGGCACAGCCTGCACCCAGCAGCAGGCTCCATGGAGCTCCATAGGGCTCAGATCAGCTCTGCCAGCCCCATGGACCACAGCCTGGTAGCCCACTACCAGGTGGGCAGAGCCTGTGCTGTACTTCATCTCCTATCACTGGGCTGAGCTCCATGGGGCTGATGGAGCTGATCAGAGCACAGCCCAGCGGTGGGAGGCAGGCAGAGCAATCACTGCACTCTGATCAGCTCCACTGGCACTGTGCTCTGATTGGCTCTGCCAGCCCCATGGAGTGCAGCCCAGCAGCAGGAGGTGGGCAGAGCCAGCACTGCATTCTGCTTCCTGCTGCCAGGCTGCGCTTCGTGGGGCTGGCAGAGCTGATTGAGCACAGTGCCAGTTCTGTCCAGCTCTCGCCATGAGGCTGAACGCCTTGGGGCTGGTGGAGCTGACCGGAGCAGAGCCTGGTGGTGGGAGGTGGGCAGAGCCAGTGCTGCACTCCACCTCCCACCAGTGGGCTGAGCTCCATGGGGCTGACAGAGCTGATCGCAGTGCAGCCCGGAGGTGGGAGGCACGGAGAGCCAGGGGGCAGGAGGCACGGAGAGCCAGGGCTGCATTCAATAGGCTCTGCCGGCCCCACAGATCACAGCCCAGTGACGGGAGGCAGGGAGAACCAGGGCTGCACTTTGATTAGCTCTGCCAGCCTCACAGAGCACAACCTGGTGGCGGGAGGTGGGGAGAGCTGAGGCTGCACTCTGCCTCCCACCGCCAGGCTGCGCTCCATAGGGCTGGCAGAGCCAATCGGAGTGCAGTGTGAGCTCTGCCCACCTCCTGCCACCAGGCTGTACTCTGTGGGACTGGCAGAGCTGATCAGAGTGCAGCTGTGTGGCAGGGCACAGGCAGAGCCAGTGCTGTGCTCTGATTGGCTCCACCAGCCCCACCGAACGCAGCATGGCAGTGGGAGACCAAGACAGCTGGAGTTGTGCTGTGCCTCCTGCCACTGGGATGAGCTCCTTGGGGCTGTGGAGCCACTTGGAGTGCAGTCCGGTGGTGGGAGGTGGCGACGGCCAGAGCTGTGCTTCAATTGGCTCCACAGCCTGATGGAGCGCAGCCTGGTGGCAGGAGGCAGACAGAGCCAGGACTGCTGTCTGATTGGCTCCACCAGTCCCATGGAGTGCAGCCTGGTGGTGGGAGATGGGGAGAACCTGGGCTGCGCTCCCAATCAGGCTGAGCTACATGGGGCTGCAGAGCCACTCAGTGCAGCCCTGGCTCTCCCCAGCCTCCCACTACCGGGCTGCTTTGAAACTCAAAACGTTTCAAACTTTCAAAATGTTTTGAGTGCCCTTCTTTAATTTCAAAGCTGTTTCAATACTTTTTGTTTCATTTCAATTTCACTTTCAAGCTTGAAATGCACCAAAACAGCTTCGAAATGAAACACTCGGTAAAATTCGCACAGCCCTAGCAGGAATTCTATTACTGTATTTACCCAAAGCTAAGACAACTTCAAATTTAAGATGACCCCTTCCCACTTAGATTCTGTACATGGAAAATTATAAATTTGTCTCTAGTATGCGGGGTTGGTGGGAGGTGGGGAGGGAGAAGGCAGCATGACCGCTGCACCTTGCTCCACTGCCACTTGCCCCACTCCCATGTCTGCACCCATACCACCTCTTCTCCTTCCCCTGTCACTTGCCAGTGCCACCCTTTCTGTGCCTGTTACCTGCCTCCCCATCTGATCTCCCATGTGTACTGGTGCCACATCCCCCAACTTGCACTGCTGCTGATTAGTGACTTTACCATCAGAACAAGTAGCTGGGCTGCATACGTTAGTGGTCTTCATAGAAACAAAGCATAAGAAATCATACTTCATGGTAAAAAGCTGCTTGGCAGCCAGCATTTCAGTTTCGGGGCTTGTAGCCTTTGCATCCTCCCTTGCTACACATAACAGTCGGTGCCCTTCTTTTCCTCTGTCAACACCAAAGAGTTACTGTGCATAGAAAACCCTAAATGGAGGGACTCCAAAGCTAAGTCAGTGCTTGCTTTGATTATATTACCAACACTGAAGTCAAGAGAGCTTGCTTATAACAGACCTTTGCATGTTCTATGTTTGGTGTGAAGGTAGTACATGCCCATTGAAATCTCATTCCCTTTACAGTTTCTACTGTTAATTTGGTACTGTGCATCAGCAAAAGAAGGAGCAAGATTTGAGGTTAATTGCCTTTTATTAAATCTGACTTTTCATTTTAAAATAAATCTATACATTGTCTTTATTTAAATTTCTATCAAAGTTCTATTTTTTTGTTTAAAAAAAACAAAGAAATTAAATGAAAGGAATGCTCTGCATTAGTTTAACATTGAAATTATTGTTGGCATTCTAACAAAGGAAAGGTAAGTAAATTCAAAACTGTCTCAATGATAGGCTTCCCTTCTTAAAATTATAACTCAGCCACATTGGGTGTGCAGATAATAAAGCCTAAATATTAATTCATAATTGATGCATAACAGGTTGAAACAACTATTAGTCATGGAAAAATGTATATTGGAAACATTATTATATTGAACACAAATACATTGAATACCAAATTATATTGAAAAAGTGTATGAAAATAAAATTATTGTGAAAAGGGTTAGTTTTTTTTAAATACCCTTTAATTTGGAAAGCTATAGCTTAGCTATAACAGTTGTTCACCTACATGAAACTGATCCAATGTCTCCCTTTAAACAGGAAACGCATCATGGTGAGCTGCTTACAGTGAAGTTGGTGGCAAAGTTCCCTTGACTTCAAAGGCAATGAGATCAGGCCTAAGTGTACTTCTATCATAAATATTTACTAGTTTAGTGCCTTTAGACCCAGAGCATATATCACCACTAAATTATTGTGGCTTTCTCATGGCTTCATCACAGTTTATCAATGCTCTGTTTGCCATTATACTGTTGCTTCATGCTGAGTGAAAGGACTACATTTTTAAAGGAAAATATAAGTGTGACACCAAACATTTGCAGTTACTGACCTGCTCCACACATGTGAGCCCACCTGTGTGTGTGTGAAAATGACTGTTTGCAAGCACAGCTGTTGGTTTTCAGAGGGCATAAGTGGCATCTTCCTTCATATGTGACAGAAGAAAATAGTCACAATTCTGCAATGTTTGTAGAAATATGAAACCTGCATGTTGTGAAATGATCCACTACAATATTTTACTATAAAGGAGTGTTTTTTCTCTAATAATACTGGATCAAGGAACACTACTGACTTTAAAAAGCATGGTTTTTTACTGAAAATGTATTGCCTTTGTGTTTCAACCATGAACGTCTGCTTACTTGATCGTTTAGCTGCCTTTCTGTTACATTTCATGTCACTGGTGAGGGAGTGCTGCCTGGTGTCTTTAGCACCTCAGATGACTACACCAGAATGAAATTAAAGAAAAAAATATTTTGTTGACAGCATCTTTCTGTACAGTCCATTCTGCTGTGTCCCATATATAATCATTCAGCTCTTACTTTGCATGGGCCTTCACATTCTGGGGGAAGATGGGAAGATTTTTTTAAATTGGTTTTAGAATGCCAAAAACAATTGGTAACGTGACTTAAAAAGACATGGTAACAATAACTACTTTAATTCAATTTAAAAATGCACTAGATTTACTAAATCTACCAAAAACACATGTAATTCAATATATGCCAACAGAATAATTTTTAAATAAATGCACATTTGAACTTGCTGCTGCTGCTATCTTGACCACTGAAAATGACAGTTATGTCATGCAGTTCAACAGTTCTTGATAACAGGTTATCCTAGCTGCATATATTAATATATAACAAAGAACAGTGTCGTGACTATCTGAACACATGTTATATGTCATGCTAGTAAAATCATAATAACAAATCTTGTAAAAAGCCTTGTAGCAGCTATCAGGAAGAAGCTTT